TTAGTTAACCGAACAAGATGCTATCGAAGTGGTTGGATATGCCTAATCGCCTATCTTTATATCAGAGACATTCAGTTGTCAGATGACACAGCGGTTCTCACAGCATGCTAGCTATGCACAAATCTATTGTGCCATATTCAAATCGGTCTATAGGAGTGCCGAGCATGGGGGACCGGGTAATTACAACCACGCCCAACGCTTGCAAGCAGTGATCAAGTGTATGCGCATCAATATACTGCTGGCAAAATTTGATTTTTGAGTCTTCGGTGTCGACAAATTCTGGTTTTGATATTATACAAAGACAAACGCTATTGCAGATTTGCCGTTGCCTTTGTATTGTAGAGACTATATAATGGCTTGGCCTGGCGAATTATGTGCACATTTATAGTGCAAGTTATGCCGACGTGGCACGGGTCATTACGAAATCGTTAAGCAGGCTGTCAAACGATGCTGGGGTATGGCAGAGAGGCAGGCTCTAAGTTTGCGAAAGAAGACCTCATGAGCGCCTCTCTGTATTCAAGATCGCCCTGACATGTGCTTTGGCCTTTACCAAAGAATGTAAATCACGTAATGACGATGCCAATGGGCACTGGTGCGAGTTCATGAAGAGGTTTTGCCAGCTTGAGGCGGCAAATATAGACTAATTAATCACGACAAAAAGCTCCTTGCCATGAAGCATGCTCGTTTTGGTTCAGAGTAATCTCAGGCATTTGTGATAATCCATATATTTTTCATCGTTGCTCACAGTGATGTTGTCGCCACTTCTCTCACACAAAGCAGCATGATCAGCCGAGTCGGCTTAGTGCTGTGATGGATCAGCTTACGCGTTACTCCAATTACATACTACCAGATATTACGATGGTGGCGTCGGCTATTGATGTAGCGGTATATATACTTCTTAACATGCTCCAATTCTGTGCCGATACCTTTGCCATGTCGTGCAGCATCTCGCCCACTTTTGCACTTTCGGTATGTCGATATAGCGAACAGGTGAGACGCATCAGGTGTGGTGCTGCTGAAGCCTTTCAAAAGTAAGTCAGCTGACAGATCAAGCGTTGATTTATGTTATATTGAACTGACATTTTCATTGCTGTTAACTATCTAAAGGCATCTAGCATTATAGCTTTACCCCACTTGCACGCAGCGTGCGTTAATGCCTTGTGATAAGGACATCAAAGTAGACAACGCACATGACTATCACTTGGATGACAACTTTGGAAAAGAAAATACACGGTGAAAGCTATGTACGGGTGACCCAACATGAATAGTGGGTACGCACGTATGCACGCACGTGTGATTTGCATCAGAGGATAGCACTCGCACTTGATGTGCTTGCGCCTTTGGTAAATCCACAGCTTTTGTCAGAACGACGGGAACCCTTCAGCATAAACTATACGTTTGATATGTTCAAAGATGCTTACGGAATACAGTGGGTACGCACGTGTACGTGCATGCGAGATATGCATCAGAAGGTTACACTCTCGCCGAATGTACCAGCGCTTTTGGTACACCACCGTTTTCGTCGTGATGAGAATACCCATCAGCATGGACAGTATTTATGATCTCAGCAAAGACGCGTTTGGAATGCCAAAAATGTGGTCTATTGAGACCATCTGAACAAGATGACTGGATTTGCTGCTGCCAACGACACCGTAACCGGTAAGCGTTCAGCCAAGCTGTTCCTCCCCAAAGTGGTTAGCCTTCATAGCTTGCCAGTAGCCATTGTGTGAGATAGAGATCCCCGCTCTTAAGTGAACTTTGGCAAATCTCGGCGCCAGATTGACCGCAAACCGATAGTAAGACGGAACGCGGATATTACTTTTGCAGAATATTAGTGAAGCATTTGCGCGGAGAGGCTGTAGTGCTCGATCGAGTTAGTTTCGCTCGTTGTTCTTTAATGACTACGCGTTTGATAGGCTTTACCCAATGTTACAAAAATGATTTCGTATACCGCTGGATGCCTTTGACACAGCCACGAAGTGGCTATAGTCTATGTTGCGGAGGGGCTGACGATCAAAACCAGCTTCATCTCAGTTACGCTTTGTAGCATATTCACGATTATATCTTGATGAGATTGAGCATCATGCGCCGGGTGGGTGACGCTACGGCTCGAAGTAAGAGTACGCAAAAGCAAAATATCAGATGGCAATAGCAGAGGTAGATGCAGCATCGATGGATACATTGTAAACAATAAGGCTCTAATAAACGCAGCAAATCGATATGGTAACAGTCTATTAGACTGAGTTGTGCCTCCGCTAAAAATTACCATAGTAGCCGAAAAAGTATTATGTAATTTTTCCTCACATCCTCTCAGAGCAATCAAGCGCGTTCTGTATATTTGTCGAGGGTTCCTACGGCGTATCTCAACCCTACTCTTCGAGCGCTTAAGCGTTCTGCTACAGTCAAAGTGAAGTCTCGTCCAACCTTTGTAGTTCAGCTACCGCCTGCGCCCAAACAACGATCAGGTTCTGAGTCTCTTGCGCAGCATTTAAGTCGTAGGTCCGCTCCGCAGCTCCGCGATAGTACCCGAGAATATGCTGTTTTCCGTATCAAACGCACGTGTAGTCGCATCTACAGCCGATAGAGCTCACGAGAGGGTGTGACTAGGCGGTCAGACAGGTGGTTTATACAATATCCGATAAAATTGGGAAGACACATTCATTTCGCGCTCTCGGATATGAGAGGTCGCACTTCGGCATGATTACCGTGATGCCGATGGCGCTTATCATTTTCCAACTTTCTTTGCCTTTACCGCTACAGCAAGAGGGATAGGCTGAGATACGCACCAAATTATTCACTAGCGAATCTGGCCAAGCTTTACTCAAAACTTGGCCGACAGCTGAACATTAGACCCTCGACGACGAAGACGGCTGTTCATATCAAGATCTGTACCAGCCTTAACATCTAGTACTTCGCAGAGGCAAGCATGTATTGAGGCTCTTGCTGGACTTTGTCACTGAATATAGCCATTATGGTCGTAAACGGATAATGCGACTTGCCTCGTTCGCCTAGCGCGACATATGAGTCAGGCAATCTTCCGGACTTCGCCAGCGCTTACTTTCAAATGTGTGGTTCCCGATCACCGCTGCTCTGGGTGCAAGGGTTTCTTTTGGGGGAGGATTGAAGGCCCGAAAGGTTTTCTCGGTGCAACTTCTTAGCACTTGTTTGACTTTCCGTTTTTAAGCAGAAGACCCACATACAGAGACGTGCAAAGTGTTTTCCGCGCTTGGTGATTCTTGACAGATCTAATGCAAAGTATCGGCGTGGCTTCGCCTGCAAATATTGCCGCGACTCTCATGCTGGTAGACAGGCAACCTCAACTCGCTAATCAACATCCGTAACGAGCAAACATCGTCGTGAGCTCCGTGGCGCTCCGCCGTAATGAGTGGATACAAATTGTGCAGCTCGCGTATTGTAAAATCAAGCGTAAATAACGTCTGATGATCGGGGGATCGAAGCGAGGAAAAGTTTTGACCTTTAAGCTTTCGGTGAGGGCTCAAATATTGGAGCAAATTTAAGAGAGTCACTTTGACCGCTCTTATGGGAAATAACTCTGGCTGCCTTGCTAATTATGCCTTCAGGGCGCTGGTAAGAGGGGCTGTGCCTTTCTTGGTGGATTGTTAAGCCATACGATGACGAAGAGTATATCAAGGGTGCAGCGGGGCTGCCGTAGCTCTTTGCTTAAAGGAGGCTAAGCTAAGGGTACTGACCTTACGTTCTTTCCAAGAACCGGTAAGAGTGCAGCGGATTGCGATCCTCTGCCTCCAAGAGAACTTTAGACCAAAACCGAGGTCTCTTCAAAATTGAAAATGTATTTTATTGTTCTAGTTGCGGCATGACCGCCAGTATCCAAAACCCTAGATTTTCCTCATTGATATAGTAAAACCTAATCAATAAAGCAAAACCTATTTCATATAGTTATATGCATTACTACCGGCAATCCTGCCACGTGTTGACTATTTGTTACGGTGAAGCCATACCACTGTGTCATTACACAAACTGTGCAATACACACCTATGTACGGTCGCACTATCGCCCTTTCTCACAAGTGCACGTGTAACCCCCTTACACTCTCCTCCATTTAAATTGTGAACAGTCTCAATTCACATTTGACAGTCGCCTCATACAAGGCTCGCGTGTCTGAGCCACCTCAATGATCGTAAGACAACTTTAAACCGTCTCCGCTCTATGAGCACTGTATCTACGACACACAAAACACCCAGCCTAGCTGGTAGCGAGGGCGCCCGTGGGCAAAGCCTTTCTTCTTCTGCACAAGGTGCATCTTCGACCTGTACGTCGGCGGCTTCAAACGAAGGACATCACAACCCTCGGCAACTGGGAGCAACACAACACGTCCACCCCGGCGGCGGTTTTCTCGTCGAGCAATTGGATGAAGTCGACTACAAGTCGAACACTCCTTTCCTAGCATGGGATGACAAGGAAGACGAAGTGCACCAACGGCGCGACGTGAGCCCAGCTCAAACCTGCGAACACTATGTCCGCTTCCCGACCTCTCGGCTTCCGAGTGGAACTAGTATTATTACCAATCGCCTCGACAGGCACAGAAGCTGCAATTGAAACCTGCTCATAGAGCGGCTCTCCTTGCGACTGTATCCACGTTTGGTCTTGGACTCTCGTGTGGAATACTGCTTCTGCTCGGCGGATCCCGCTACTGAAGCGAATGACGCGATCACTCGATCGTTAGGCGTCTAGTAGTTGGGCCTCCGGTCACTACACAAGCTGAGCTTGATCTGCGGAAAGCTATGCGAGCTCGCTTATTACTTACCCCTAGAGATTCCGAAAGATCAGTTCGCTCTTGGCTTGAGCTAAAAAAGGAGGTGCTACTGTTCCCGCAAAGCGAACTGTCCCTGTGGTGCTCACCCCTGGCGAAACCGCTGTAGATGATGACGTCCTCTTTGAGCGATGGGTGCAGCGGCACCAGAAACTGTCTTCGCTGTCTACCTTACAGCAAAGCAACAAGGAAGCGGACGTGCGCGTTGAGCGCCATCTTAGATTTGAGTTTGCCAAAATCAAGGCGCAGCTCCGACTTCCTTCGTATTGTCACCCTGCGACATATAAAACTATGCATAATGCTTAAGCGAGCTCCATGATTTCACACACATGTGATTCTACGACCAAAGCAGCTCATGCTTTCCGGCTTCCCGGGCTACGGCCGAGAAGCGCGGTGCGCAAAACGACGCAAAAGGTTATGAGCATTCTAACTATAAGCGTCTACGATGTCTGGGCAGTCTTGCCGAGGTGGCACCTCAAACTCCCACGAGTTCTCGGAGTTTAGGCATCCCCGCCACTTCACAAGATATTGGGCTAAACCTTGTTGATGACGTCAACCCACAAGGCGTTCCACGTGATAGGAACGCATTCATTCTTATCAATAAGAGTCGGCGGCGGAAGATCAAGACTTGGTCAATTGCCGTCCGGTGACTAGCGATGCTCTTCGAGCGTTGGAGGACAGAGTACGACGCCATCGGCACTCTGCCAAGCATCTCCTCGAGGTCGCCCACCGCTGTGCGGAAGACCTCGAGAGTCTGGAGCACTTTGTGCACCGACTGCCTCGCGTTGAAGATTATCATGTTCTGTCGAAGCGGCTTTTAGCCGTCGAGCAGGCGAGTACTTTACTTCATGTGACGGTGGAGCGCATTAAGCCGTTGGAAACGAAAGTTGTTACACATCGTGCTCAGAAAAAGTTGCTGGTCCAACTTCTGGGTGGACGAGCGTCTTTGGACGCCGCCCAGGCGCCAACGCTTCCGCGTTCAGTTGCGCCGGATCCCGGTATGGCTTAAGCAAGCCCACATAAAACATTGGGTGGTGCGAATCCTTCTGGGAAGGTTCGGTAGGCCTCGCTTGGCCACGATCTTAATAAGCCTAATAAACCGCGGACGGAGCTTCGTCTTAAAGACAGCAGAAATTGCATGTGTAGGAAGGTTTGAGCGTTTAATATAACCAGGTCTCCAGCCTCAATGTTTTCAACACTTCTTTTTCCGTCTGCATATTCCTACTACATGTCTTGGCTTTCAGCCATCGCATCGCGAACGTGTCGAAAGACACTCAGTCTAGTTGACAGAAATTCTCCGACTTTGAGGGGCTGACATCAGCTAGCCGTTCGGCTATTCCTCCGCCACCAAGCCCTGCGCCGTGGAATGGCAGCGTCAGCGCGACGCGAGGATTACTAATCCCGTTCACGTAGAACGGCGTATAGCCGGTAGATGAAGGCGCTGTATTGTTCAGAGCAAACTGCGATTCACGCGCTCAGTCTTACCATCGGTCTGCGGATGGTCCGCTGTTGACATAATTGACTCGGTGTCCAGCACTTTGAAGATGGTCGGTCGGCCAAAACTTCCCAGTGATGCGCGGGTTTTTATCAAAGAAAACTGACTCCGGGAGTTCATTTCGTCAAAAGACACGATCAACAAACAGCGTCGATGTACCCACACCGTCGATGGTGTCCGGCACCACCGCAAGATGAACCATCTTGCTTAAACGGTTCACAAAGACTACCACACCCGTGTTGCTTGCCGAGTCCTTCGGAAGGCAGAACACAAAGTCCGTACTCATAATCTACCAACACCCGGAGGTACAAGTAAACTGGCCAGAGAAGCTGCCGTATTTGGAGAGGGTTTCGTGATCTGACATATCTCACACGTGCGCTCATATGTGCTCGTTCACTTAAACAGCTTGGGCCACCAAAATTGCAGCTCTTCGAGCTTCACGTCCTATCATGACCGAAATGACCACTGACTGAGGTGTCGTGGGTCTCGTAGAGGATACGATATTTTAGATTCTCATCTTGGGGAACAACAGTTCGTAGTGTATCCGTTGAATCGGTGGTATAATACAGCAACCCGTTACTCAGCGAATATCGGTGTCAACATGCGTGCAAACGCGCCGACAATTCCTTATCCTAGTTTCCAAACTCCTTGCTCCCGAGAGCCTGTAGCAGCGCTACACGCATACTATCACCCGCGTATGCGGCACGGATCAAATCCGCCACTGACAACGTCACCATCATGACATGAGCAAGCTCATATTCTGGTTTGCGTGACAACGCATCAGCCAAAGCATTCTGCTTTCCGGGCTTATATTTCACCTCATAATTATATTCTGCAATGATGAGAGTCACCTGGTCATCCTCTGCGAGAGGTGAGGCAAATGAGTCGCAGTGCGTAGTGAGGCCTGATCTGTGTAGATCACAAACGGCTTTGAGCCCATCAGATGCACACAAGTGCATACTTCATCGATGTGATTCCTTGTCGTGAACTGGATAGTTCCTCTTCGCAGCCTTAAGCTGGCGGTATTCGAACATGATCTCCCGATCTTGCACCTCACCGTCTGCTTGTAGCAGTGCACAGCCGATGACAAAGCTCGAAACGTCACAGACGCAACTAAAAGGACGATCAGATTCTGGCAACACTAGTATTGGTGCGTTAAGGAGGCTGTCTTTGACTCTCTTAAAAGCCTCTCGATGATCGGTGTCCCAAGACCATTCTAAATATTTTCAAAGGAGATTAGACAATAACTGTGCCAATTTCCGCATAATCTGCACTTCACTTGTGCAAATAGATGACG